CATTTACATAGGACAAAAAAAAAATCTTGCAGAATTATGTTTCCTAACATGAAAGACATTGAATACTGTATAGCATCACATAGCTAAAGGTGGGTCCTTTATTGACAAAAAGATAGATAATACAAACAGGAATTTGCCGACCCAATGTTTTAAACAAATTATATAAAACTGTCACCTGCATAGACGATCAATGTGTAACTAACCAGAGCAGTGAGGTTTAACACCCCACCCCTCAACCGAAACAACACAGCTAACAGTTTCAAATTGTAGGTGGCATCTTGGTTTTGATAGACCCATTATTCTTAGCTCCTTTGCTCTGGGGGTCAGTTTTAATCTTATATGTATCTCAAGTCTTCCAAAACCTCACTCTATTCTATAAAGACCCTGTGAATCTATGACCATCTTCTCATGACTTCCTGTAGTGGCCGATTTCCTTTGTGTCTGTTTGTGTGGGGTTTTTTTGTTGTTGTTTGTTTTTTCAAGATAGGGTTTCTCTGTGTACCCCTGGCTGTGCTAAAACTCACTCACTCTGTAGACCAGGCCTGCCTCAAACTCAGAGATCTGCTTGCCTCTTCCTGGGATGAAAGGCATGTGCCACCATACCTAGCTAGTGGGCAGTTTGCTAATGGCTCCCCTCTATGACTGTGAGTGCCCTAAATGAAAATCATTAGGCCCTCTTTAATGTCATATAACCTAAGGAAGGCTGAACATTAGACACAAGTACATAGACAAATAAAAAACCATGAAAGAAAGATAACTTTTACTGACAGTTCTCCCAAGCCAAAAAAAAAAAAAAAAAAAAAAAAAGTATGTAAGTGCCTTTCTCAAATGCTCAAAAGTTCATGAATAGCTACAGTTTCCCACACATACTTCCTCAAACAACACCCAGACACTAAGTTCCGGGTGGATCTGCAGAAACGCAGATGAGCAGCATCAGTCCAGCATCAGGCAGGAAGCATGCAGCCAGCCAGGCCCCCCAGCAGCACGTGCTCCACTCCTGAGAGCAGACAGAGCAGCTCTGCGGAGACACAGAGCCAGATTCATGTGACCACGCAACCAGAGAACCACGGTGAGAAGAAAACTTAGATGAAAGAGACATTAATTACAGAAGGAAAACAGTGCCTAACCTCTGCACTACTCCAGCTTCTGCTAGGATGAGATGAATTACCCTATGTTCAGGTTTAAATCCCTTCTCAGAGCTCAAGCAGGCTGCGGGTACAGGACCTCTACTGCAGGATAGCACCAGGAGTGTCTACCCAATTCCGTTTTGCTTTTGTACCTGAAAAGAATTAGACATTCACTCAACACAACTGCTATAATTCTGGCTTAAGATCTACTGGCCTCAAAAGTGTGTTCTTAAAAGAGCATGTTAAACAATGCACATTAAAGAAAAGCTAGAAATTAATACTCTCATAAAATTACAAGAATCGGGTTTCCCCAATGCAGCTTTTCACCTTTGGTACTATCTCAGCTCTGCTTTGGAAAATACAACAAACTCGTTCCCTATAAGCAACAGAATCAATCATAGAAAACAACCAGTTACACTTGCTTTGCAGTATTACTAAAAATGAGATTGGAGATCTAATAAAGATATGTTTAACAAGACAGAGGGAAATAAGCACACAGGAGCAAACTTCACATCAGTGTTGTCTATAAGACAGACAAGTCCAAGAGAAGAGCAATAAAAGAGGGAGCAAGTAAACAAAGACATAACCCAAACTTAGATGGTAGAATACAGCCACACACATCTAAACTAGGATGCTGATTCTCTAGTTCAAAGCTAGACTAATTTAAAGACAAGTCTCTTCTATCTTAAAAGAAATGGCAGGAGGAGGACCAGACAATTACTAACCAAAGCGACTGTAGTGATATTACTATCTAATAAAACAGATTTAAGGTATAATGCAGCAATAAGGAAAACCATGCAATAATATGCAATTCTGAACAGTTGATAATCTAGCCTAAGTTTTTAGAAAATAATAAATTTATAGGAATACTAAAGCAAATTACCAAAGTGACCATTACAGAGTCACTGTAACACACTTCAGAATCAAAAGTCAAAGCAGTCAAACAGTATAACACGAAAAAGATGTAATTCATCGGATCAAGGACAGATCTAAAACTCTATATGAAGAAGAGGAGGAGGAGGAGGAGGAGGAGGAGAGCCACACATACCAATCTCAAAGGGAACTGTGCTGACTAGATACCCTGCTTTAAGTGAGTCTTAAATGCAGCAGGATCCATTCTAGAGCACATTCTGAGCATAGTGTAACAAGAAGCTGGGATCCGAAAAAAGACAATCATCTTCCCACAGCACATCCATGTGTGTACTCACACACTGAAACTTTAAATCTTACCTGTGAAAATTCCAAAGTCAAAATAAACTGTGAGATGAAAAACATTAAAAGATATGATTAAGAGCCAAAAACTATTATTACTAAGTATTAAACTTGAGCAATTACAAAAACACAGAAACTGGGTGGGGAAAATAAAAAGAAATAGAAAACAAAACTTAGTTGTTGGTTTTTGGGGGAAATAATGTAAATTTGCAAGAAAACTATAAAGAAAAAGAAAAGAAGTGTTGATTCTGTGTCCTAATACTTTGCTGAAGTGCTTATCTGCTATTGCGTTTCCTGGTATGGGTTTTAGGGTCATTTATTGTTGGGGTACACTGTGTGAAGGTGTGTCTCTGAATATTCCACACTTGACTGCTAAACCGGCAGAGAGTTGAGTACCAGCCAGATCATTGTATTGTTGATCCTATGGCTCATCACCAGTGTTTTATTTTGTAAATATTCATCCTTCCTCACTTGCTGACAATAGCTAGTCAGAAAGTAGAAGGTAGAACTTCCAAAAGGGAGAGAGGCTCCAGGAGAAGAAGAAAATGTGGAAGATTTGCTAGTGGCCATGGAGGTGAGCAGATGGACATGAACAGGAGCAAAGAGGCAGAACTAGCCACATGGCAGGAAGTAGTACCAGGATTAGTGAGATGGTCAGCTGGGAGACTGCCCAAGCTAAAAGGCCTAAACTTTAAAAATACTAAAACCTTCTGTGTCATTATTTCTACCAGTGGCTAGTCCAAGAGAGAGTTCACTATAGTTTATGTATGCAATCATATCTCTAGCAAATAAAGAAACTGACTTCTTCCATTCCTGTTTGCATCTTGATCTCCCCTTCAGTTATCTTACTGCCCTAGATAAGACTTCAAGTATGATACTGAAGAGGTATGGAGAAAGTGGACATGCTTGTTTTGTTCTTTACTTTAGCAGACATGCTTTTGTTTCTGTTTACGCTGATGTTAGCCATGGGCTTGCTGGCTGAGTCTATCTCTAACCACATCAGAGTGGTGGTATTAAAAGGTGGAGCCTCTGAAGAACTCATGAGGCTTCCACCTTCACAACTGACCTTAGTACACACTCACACAACGTTAAGGGAGCTTCGAGCTGCCTCCGATCATGCAGGAACAGTTTCACTCCCTGCAGCACATGCGCGGTCAGCAGAAAGGTGCCATCTAGGAAACACACTGAACTCCTTGATCATGTACCTCTCAGTCTATTCCAGGGGTTCTCAACCTTCCCGATGCTGCCATCCTTCAACAGACTTCCTCATGTGTGATGGCCCAACCATCCAATTATTTCACTGCTACTTTGCTACTGTTGTGGATCATAATGTAAATACCTGATGTAGGATATGTGACCCACACAAACCTCCCAGGAGCCACGACCCACAAGTTGAGAACCTCTGGACTCTACTCTTCAAAGTATTTTGTTAAAACACCAACTAAGACAGGGATTTTTAATTCTTTGTTGCTCTATTTTTGAAATGCCTCAAGTGCCAGAACAATTATACATGCATGGGTGGAAGGTCTAGACTATTTATACAAAGATGAGAAAATAATTACAAGTTCTCACTGAGCATCCTTGCCTGGCAGCATAATATACTCAAATATCATAAAAGTGATGTTCTACTAGATAGCCACAGCTGTTCTGAACAAACCATTAAAATACAAGTGCAAGGTATGGTGATGGAACACGCCTTTAATCTCAGCACTTGGGAGGCGGAGGCAGAGGCGGGCGGGTATCTGTGAGCTGGAGGCCATCCTGGTCTCCAGAGTAAGTTCTAGAACAGCCAGAGCTACACACAAAGAAACTGTCTCAAAAAAAAAAAAAAAAAAAAAAAAAAGCACCAGGGATTTGGCATAATTTTTTACTAGCAGACTTAGGAAAGCTTAGTCTGCATTTAAAGTGAGTAAGAAAGACAGATCACCTGTGGAATGTCTGCAGGTCCCACAGGTCTGCGGGTCACGAGCTCTAGTGCCAAGGTGCCACAGCGGCAGGCTTGGCGCTTGTACCACCTGACGGTTCCCCTCCCTCTGTGACGCTGAGAATGGAGTCTCACCTGATACATGACCATCCACTCAAAGTACTTCAACACAGGTCAGTGACATTAACCATCAGTGTGCGTCATGTGAGTAAGAGTCACTGAAAGAAAGGCTAGCACAGAGCCCTGAAGAGCTGGTGCTCTGAGAGACTACACTGACCGTCAATGGCAGTGAGGGCAACTGCCCATCTTACAAATCATGGGCATTTTTTTACCAAACGATACAAAAGTAATGACCTAGGTTTCTAGCATTCTCTTACGCAGAATAAGGACTTACTGCTGAAACTTCCTTAGTCTAAAAACCAACTTACAACCATCACTTCTCATGATATCCGATAGAGGTAACAGTCAAAGCTTCAGAACAGACATAATCCATGCAAGAGTGAATGCACACAGCGGAACTTCATCCCTGCTTGCCCCAGAGTGGAGTAGTGCTGTTTGAAATGGGAACAATGAACCTCTTTCTTCATTCATGGCTGTTAATGTTTTAAAAACAAAACTGCAATAAATTGGCCCAGAGGAACTTGGTAAAATGAGACATTCACAGTGCCATGCAACCAGCAGAGCACGCTGCTTGCAACCTGCCCATCAACAGACCGTCTGCTCAGTCCTTGCCTCACCTCCAGGTCACAGCTGTATTCGGTGCCATCTAGGAGGGTCACTTTGGCCAGGACAGTCTTGGTCTTCTTAGTAGTTTTCTGAGAGGCCACCTCTGCTTTCAGCTCACTTGTCTGCACCTCCTTGGTCTCCCTCTTTGCCGCCTCTCCTTCCTGCGTCTCTTCCTGCGCCTCCTGTATCTTCTCTTCCTCTTTGTCTCTCCTTACTTCTTCAGCAGGCTGCTCGAATAAATAAATACATCCACATTAACCGACTTGTAGAAGACAACATCAACAAGAAAAAAGTGATCACAATCTACCTTTCTCTGCAGCACCAGTACCGTACCCAGGACTTTGAATGTGGTGGCAAGTGCTCCAGCCACATCCGCAGGCCCCAGGAGGATCTTTTATGAGAATTATGGTTTTCAATCTAATAACTTTAAACAAGCTTTGTAAGATTCAAACATGACGTAAGAAAGGGTATTTTCTCATTCTTTATTTTGCTAGGTTACTGATTTAGGCATTAAATGAATAAAAGAAACTATATTCCAGCAGCCAGCTATACTTTTAAAAGCACTGAAATAACAAAATTTCTAAAACCTCAAGTCACAGCAAAACCTAGGCTTCCACAGGCAAACAAAACACACACAATCCACTGTTCGCTCTTAACACTACTTACTTGACTAAAGAAAAGATAGATAAAAGGGCATTAGCTTAACAGAAGAGGTGAGAGGTCTGACTGCCTGCTCAGCCTTACCAGACCAGGTGCTTCTGAGAGGGCTGAGAGGGTTGCATGCCTTCTGTTGCTGAGGTGGTGGTTTTGTTTAAAAAGACTCACAGGAAGACTGAGGTGCAAGAATCGGTTCTGGACTCAAGATACATCAGGCTGAGGTTGTATCTCGATACAGAAATGGGAAATGGTGGAAAGCAAGGCAACCCCTTTCCCTGTGAGACTGCACACTCGTTCCTAGTCTTCTCCCACTTACCTGGGTCTCAGCACTGCTTTTCAAGGAAGGCTTTTCTTCCCTGACCTCCACCTTGACCTCAAGGTGCTTTCTCTGAGCCATCTCTTCTGCATCACCCTTGGCCCGATTCTCTTCCTTGGGAAGCGAATCCTCCTTTTCCAAGACCTGTTCTTCCACATCAGCTTGGGTAGGCTCCTTTTTATCTCCTCCGTCTTTGGCTACTACCAAGTTATAAGACTTCTGCTTCTTCAGCCAAGGGGGTATGAACCGAGAGATGCCCCTGCTCTCAGATGGCTTCTTCTCTCTTTTCCGGCGGTGGGGACTGTGTTGGCTTTCCACTGCAGGAGCTGGCTGGGAACCTTTCTCCTCCTCTGGCTCAGGTAACGGATTCTGCTCATCCTCTGCCTCTTTTGCTTTCTGCTTGGGTACATCTGCTCCTGCCTGGTCAGAGTCCTTCTTCACTTCAGATGCAGAGCCAACTTCAGTAGTCATGGCTATAGCTTATACTACAAAAGGAAAACCACAAGATAATAGTTTAGAAACTTTCCCACTTTCAATCTGGCGGCAAGGTGATGGAAAGGGTGAGATGGAATAGCGAGAGGAACTGAGCAGAGAAACAGGAACAAGGCAGTGTTAAAACAGAAGGCACAAGACAAGAAGACTGCTCTGTGAGAACTCTGAGTCACAGAATCAGCAGCGTCACAATGGCATACACTCTGGACATTTGGAACACAATCACCCAGACCCAAGAGAGAGTGATTACTTATTTTGACTCCAACTAGTTATACAATGATTGACACAGAAAGTCCAATGTTTATGGGTCTGTTTTACTTCCAGCTTTCTTCTTTACTAAAGAAACATTGTTAGCGATATCACCAAGCACCGAGACACATTTCACCACAATTTCACACATTAAACCCAAAATCTATAGAAATTTTAAGTATCAGCCAGGTACTGTGGTGCACACCCTTAACACCGGCACACAGGGAGGCAAAGGCAGGATGATTTCTATGAGTTCGAGGCTATCCTGGTCTACAAAGAGAGTCCAGGACAATCATGGCTACACAGAGAAACCCTGTTTTGAAAAACTAAAAAAAAAAAAAGAAAGAAAGAAAGAAAGAAAGAAAGAAAGAAAGAAAGAAAGAAATCTGGGTGTTTAAGAACAATAAAAACTTACTTAAACAAAACTGTATTATTATATTGCTTTCCAATATTAAATTCTGATTTTCCAGCACTATTCCAAAAGTTCAGCTTCTGGAAAAATGATTAAAGCCAAAATTAAAACTCCAAGCCTCCACCCTACCCAATCTCAAACACTGTGTGTGTGTGTGTGTGTGTGTGTGTGTGTGTGTGTGTGTGTGTGT